TGCCCAAAGGAGAACAGGGAGAAGAGATGCAGCCCTGTGTGGTTACAGGGTTGGAGGTGAAGGAGTGTGAGGTTGCTGCCCTCTTCTCCCAGAACGATACTGGCTAGGCTAGTCCCATTCAGGCCCTGGGCACCCAGGGCTTTGACTTCAGGGCTCTCTCTCACACACACACTTTTTCTGTGTTGGAGATCAGGTCACTCAGCCTCTGCCATCCCAGGGTCTTGCTTGTACTCTCCTCCCTTTCCTAGGCCAAGTTGCAGTCGCTGAGTGCCCTGGGATTGAAAACAGGCTGAAGAGTGACAGGTGAGTGACAGGTGACCCTTCCTCAGGATAGATGGAGTTCAGAGACTCTAAAAAGAGACAACAAGAGTTCATGGCTTTGAACCTTGGAGAAGAAACTGGTGACACTGTTGGCCAAGGATCATGTTCAGGCCACATTGTGTGGACAGAACCCAGCTCTAGGCCATGCCTGATAAATGATGTCCATCCTGGTTAGTGATCAATGTCCATCTCAGAGAACACTGAGCCGTCAGGAGAGCCAGGAACTGATCCGGGCTCCACCACTAATCCACTGCAGCTGGGAAGAAGGGCGCTGTTTCCTAAATGGGATTCCCTGCTTGGGAATGAGTGGTTATACTAGACCTGTGATTTAAAACATTTCCAAAGCCACAGAACCCCTTGTCCACATGGACTCTCATGTGAAAGACCGCATGGAAAGCAGAGAGAAATAGGGCTCCTTTTGCTGCTTGCCAGAGCAACCTTTCTCTTTGGCAGGGTCCCCACAGGACCCTGAGGATTCCAAGGAACTCAGTTTGGGAAACACTGAATGGATCTATCTGTCTGTCTACCTATCTATCTATCTAGATACCTAGATATATAAATATATATGTAGATATCATATGTGTATATATATATAATATAGTTATCATTTGCGTCAGCTGTTCTCTATTCCTTTGGTGAATGTTAATGTTAATTGGTGTGAGTTGCTTGGCTAATGTTAACACAGGTGATGCTCAGAAAAGCTCTTCCTTCTCTCGGAACTGTGTGTTACAGACAGTTCTTCCATGTGACTTCAAACATGACAAGCATTGCCTTTTTACTTTGCCTCCTGTGAAGCTAACTGCTGCTTGTTGGCAGCAAAAGGAAAATAGTTAAGAGGTATTGAGGAGCAGGATCCATTCTGGTCCCTAATCCTGAGCCACCCTAATGGCCCTGAGTTTTCCATCTCCTCAGTCTCTGGAGAATGGCACTCCTGCCTGTCAACATTCCAGCTGCTTCTATCAGACTCTTCGTCAACATCATGGTAGTATGTACAGTTTTGATACCAAGCGCTGGAGAACAGAATTAATCAGAGTGACTTGTCATCTGAAGGAGGGTATTGTAGACCTTTTCTGGAATGACTCTCTGTTGTTAATGGGATTGTTCTTTTCTTCTGATAAGGCTAGCATCCACCCACTCCCATCCCTGACTGTCTCACCCATATCAGAGAAGCATCAGAACTACAGCAGAAAAGATTAGGCCCTACACTGGCAGTAAGAAGCCTCTCTGAGTCTCAGGCTCTGCTTAGAAAATACCTGGCTGAGTGGCACTGTGGCTCAAGTGGTAGAGTGCACACCTTGAGCTGAAGAGCTCAAGGACAGCGTCCAGGCCCAGAGTTCAAGACCCACAACAACAACAAAAAAAAAAAAAGGGAAAAATTAACACCAAAGTTGAGAAGCAAACTATCAGCACATGAAGAGCAATCCAGATAAAAAGATCCAAATGGCTTACCTGGCTGAGTAGTTTTGGACACATTCCCAGCCCTTTCTGAGCCTTGGTCTTCCCAACCATAAAATGAAGGAGAGAAGAGTAATTGAGAGCTGAGTGCTGGTGGCTCATGCCTATAGACCTGAGGATCCTGGTTTGGTTTGAAGCCAGCAGGGGAAACAAATCCAGAGACTTATCTCTAATTAATCAACAAACACTGGGAGTGGTAAAGCACCAACCTTGAGCCAAAAGAAAAAAAAAAGGGAATTAAGATGCTCAACCGGACATGTTACCTAAAAACTGCTATGCTAAGGGACCAAAGACATTAACTAAAGACACTCCCCCCATTCCCATTGCCTAGCCAAGGGTAGGGGAGGGTACCATGTCAGGGGACAGAGCTATACTTCCTAACAACTCACTGTTTGAACTAGCATCCCTGAGACCTAGCCCGGAGTTCTTAATCCCCATATTCTGTTTAGTCTTTTTGCACAGACACAGTCACTGCTGTCACTCCAGGACCAGTAACCACCAATGATTCCCTGAACCCTGCTGGCAGGTGTCAGGTTCTCTCATGAAAGTCAGGGTCCTAAACTCACCCCCAAAGCTGCTTCCGTCTCTCATCTTCACCCCATTCTCCCCAGTCTCTTGCCATAGGCATAATGAGCCACAGCTCCTATTTAAATACTTGCTATAGCCAGGCTCTAAGTATTTTATGGGTCTTGATTATTCTGATCCTAAAACACACACAACTATTATCAGCAGTATACAGATGCGGAAGCTGGGAATTAAATTTGCCTGGGATCATTTAGCTACAAAGTGGTGAGCCCAAGATATGGCCCTTGGCTCTGGCACCCACACATGTAACCTCTGTCAGACAGGCTGGTGGCTGCCGTGGGAGTAACTGGGAGTTACTGTTTGTTCCGTGCTTGCAACATGATAGGCATTGTACACTTATTTTATTGTTGCATTTAAACCTCACAACTGACTGAAAGAGGAAACATCTTATTTTCATTTTATAGATGTGGAAACGGAGGCTCCAAAACATTTAGTAACTTCCTTGTGGTAAATAGAGGCTTCAAAGTCAGGAATGTTCAACCCATCTGAGCCTTCTTCTGCCACTCTTCTTTCCAGGACAATACCTACCTCATTGTCTGTAGGAGAAACAAAGAGGCCCCCTAGCACCTCCCCCTCCACAGAGCTCCCAAAAATGTCACTCTGGCTGCCTGGGTGGGCCTGGAGGGGCTTGCCAGGCAGCTTTCTCCATTGGTCTTGGCTGAGAACAGCCAGGACCCAGAGAAGTGACAATTGACTACAGTCCTGCTTCTCTTTCCTCATTCTGGGTGACTCTGTTGTGTGACCTACTTTCTGGGGGCCCATAAGTCCGCAAGGGCAATGTGGGAGCTGGAAGGAAAGAAAAGAAATCAAGATAGGTGAGCTGGACTCAGCCGCACCCTAAAGCCCACTGAAGCTGCTGAGCTCAGGCTTCAGGGCAGAAGTGGGAAGTGGGGCAGGGTTGCAGGGGGTTCATTGACGGTCATACATTTGCTGAGATCCTAAAATGCAGTGCACCTTCTATGCTAGGGTTTATGGCAGTTCAAGAGGTGAGGCTATGCCATTCCCTTCTCACAGATGAACACACAGTCTCAGAGAGGTAACAGAACTTGTTACAGGATTCAAACACAGGTCTGTCTTATTGTGAAACTAAGATTCTTTGTAATACACCATGATGCTCCTGTGTGTTAGGGACTGTGGGTGACAGGCAAGGGTGGGAACTGTGGCCTCTGCACATAGATCCAGAACTCAGAACAGAAACTGAAGGTCATAAGTTCAGGGGCCAAGGGCCTTGGAGTTTACCCTTCACCCCACGCATCATGCCTCCTCTCTCATGCAGCTTTTATGAGGAGGCCCCCTCTAGTTAAGGCTGTCCCTTTTGGAGAGTTTGAAGCAGGTCTAGCTGCTTTCACCTAGTAAACAGAGAGACGGTAGGAATTTATGTACAAGAGAAAGAAGTTGAGAACAAAGAAGTTGAGAATCAGGCAAAGAAGGTGTGTGTGTGTGTGTGTGTGTGTGTGTGTGTGCATGCACATGTGTGTGTGTGCGTGTGCTTGTGTGTGCAGCGGAACTAGATCAAACACCCAGCTAATCATATGCATACCAAAGTGCTCAGGCCACCTTGCTGAGGGTAAGAATTTAGGGAAGGAAGAGGTGGCCAGCTTGGAGCCACTCAGTGAGGAAGATAAACTGCAGAATGCAACCTGATGTTACATAATGCAACTTCATGTTAAAGGAAAACCACATTTAGCACTACTTGTTGCTCTGCATTCATTACATCATTTTTGCCTTATTTTAATCCAGCATGATGAAGAGTTAGGAGGACACACTTCTGATGTAGAGTCTACAAAAAGGAGCCTCTTCTTTTTGTTTGGTTCTTTGGTTCTTATTTTTTTGGTCCCAGACGGACTGGAACTGGTATCTGATGCTTTCCCTCATTGGCTGGCACTCTACCATTTGAACCACGCCTCCAACCTCGGTTCTTTGATTCTTGTTGCCTTTTTTCTTTGTACTCTGGGTTGGTAATAGGTACTTTAGTTTTACGTGAAAAGATGGGGAAAGCTGTGGGTAGGATTCGGTATAAAAATCAACACCGTCAGACTCCAGCTGGTGAGGGGGGTGGTGATGGGATATTGTATTGTGGGTAGTGTTTGGCAGTGCTTAGTTCAAGTCCTAGAACCTGAGGCCAAGAATGCAGGCTGGAATCTCGCATAGCGGTGACAGCAATCAGCGACTGCCAACACTTGAGAGTATTCGGGAAACTGCCAGAGGAGCGTGAGTTGTATTACACGTTCACCTTGTGCTATCTCCCAGAAGAAGCAATAATAGCTCGGGGGCAGTACCTGAACAGACCTAGACAGAGCTCCACCCTCAAAGGTGCCAGGTCTCCTGGGCCCGCCCCCAGCTGCGCAACTATTGGTCAACGCCGCCTCAGCCACCTGCCCCTACCTTGGGTGGGCGGGGCCACTGGGCCCCGCCCCCGGGGCTCGGGCGCCCAGTCCGCGCTTCCTCCAGTTCCTTTGGCTTTCTCCCAGAGTGAAGCCCCGCCCCTGTAGAAGCCCCGCCCCACGCGAGGCCCCGCCCCTAAGAGTTCCAGAGCCCGGGCGGGCGCCTCGTGACGTCACGGCCGCTTTGATACAAAGAGCCCCTTCGGCCCACGCGGGTCTCCCGGCAACGGGCGCCGGCGGGGGCGGGGCCGCGCCTTCAACTGGTGCCGAACCGTGTGAGCGAAGGCGCGCGGCCGGGGATTGTTCCTGCGCTCGCTGGCTGCAGGCTGCCGGCTGCGTCCCGCCGACCCGCTCCCACGTTCTCATCCCTCTGTAGCGGATCGCTCCGGGGATGCTCACCCCTCCTGCTCCCGGGAGCCAGGTAAGAGGCAGCCGGCGGGGTTCTGGCTTGCGGGGCTCGGCTGGGGCGCACCTGGCCCGGCCGGCGATCCCGGGACTCGGGGAAGTTGGCGGAGCGCGGAACTAACTGCGCCCGCTTCAGCCCTGGCCGCGTCCGCCCTCCCGGCGCCGGCTTGAGAAGGTCGGGTTACCTGCGTCGGCCGGCTCGGGCACGGCCGAGCAGCCGCTGCCCCCGCGGCCTCCTCCCGGGGCTCCTCCCCGCCGCGCGCCCGCACCCAGGTGCGTGCGGGAGCCCGACGGGCCCCGGGCGCGCGGAGCGGGGGCCGCGCTGGGCGTCGCAGTTTCCAAAAGTGTTTTAAAAGGCGGGGTGGGGGGGGAGGAACTTTGCGAGCTGAGGAGGGGGCTTGCGATCCCGGACATCTTTCTGTCCCAGCGCCCCTGCCTCCCCCCTGCGGGGCTGGTGAGATCCCCCAGCGCCCGCCCTGCCCCTGGCTGGGCGATGCCCCTCGGGGGCCGGGGTCGGGGCGGGGGGGGGCGGTGGAACTGTGCTCGGCCAAGTTTGTACTCAGCAGGTTGCAGCGACCCTGTTTCCTTCCCAGGTTTTCTGAGGGACCGAAAGAGAAAGCCGGCCCAGTTTGGGGTTTTGGGGGGCGGGGGGGGGACAGCATCCTGCCCCTTCTCCGCGGGATGCTGCTTTGGCCGAGGGATGTGCACCACCGCCTGCCCTCCCTTTCGCCCTTAGAGTCCCGGGAGCCCACGTAGTAGTTGTTGACACAACTGCTCCTCTGTGGGCGACAAGTGTCTCCCCAGGCCTGGCCACTGCAGCTTCTGAAAAGTCCTATCTGTGCTTTGGGGAATCGGGTCCTAACCATAGCCCTGGACCCTATTCCTTGTCATCCATGAGAACTTGCTAGTGTCACCTCCTCATTTCTTCCTCTCCCTCTCCTTGAAGAGAGCTAGAAAGGACAGCTAGAGAGGACATATCCCTGGGCTCTGAGCAGCACTCCAGTTTTCATGGGCGTTATTTCTATGCTTCCTTCTCCATGGAATGGAGGGGTCTGTCCCCAGCATGTGCTATCTTGGAGTAGCAACCCCTTGGATGGGTTCTTAGTGATCCCAACCAAGTGTCTGCCCTCCCTCCATTCCCAGAGCAGGAGGCAGATGGTATCCTGGGAAGCAGTGGGGCATCCCCTTGGGACAGCCCAGGTCCCTCTCCAGGAGGAAGATGGTTACTGAGATCACCAGGAGAGAGAGGAGAAGATGGGGCAGGGGGGAGCGGGGAGTGTTCCAAATTGTGTGGCCCACCTCTGCAGTAGGATGTCTTTCCCCCTCCACCACTGGCTGGGGTCTCACTGCTGGTACTGGGAGCCCAGACCTTCCCCTGCTTAATTGGTATTTATTAGTTGCTGATTATGTGCCCAGGGAATCTTGTACATAGGACACTTCCCTGCACTTGGAGTGTTTGCAGGTGTTTGGGGATCTTGGATGCCTGGGACTAACCTGGGATGTCCACTTCCCCTGGGGTGGGACAATTTGGTCTGGTCTCTTGCGGCCCCTGTGACTTCACATTAGAGCCACGTGTGGCCAGCAAGAGTACAGGAAGCCAGGAAAGAACGCGGGATTTGAGCTTGTAGGCAGCAACCTTGAGTAAATGCCTGATAGAGATCAGCTTTGGAATTTTTGGGACTTAGGATTTAATGGAAGGGGGCAGGGCAGATGACTAAGACCCAGAGGAGAGAAGAGAGATAAGACCTGGCTGGACCAAGGGAAGGAAGGAATGGTTCACTAGCCTGGTCTGGTGAGCCCTGGGAGATCTGACCTTTGTCCCAAGGGAGATCTTACTATTGGACAGACTGCCTGGAGCCTGTCCTTGGAAAAAGGACTTTTATCCTGGAGGAGGGAGAAAGGCAGAAATTAGAGGGACCTAAGGGGCCTAGGCTATCTCTTTTGGGATTCCAGAAGGCAGTCTGCAATGAGAAGTGTCCCTATTGATCATGAGTGCCCCTCCCTAGGCCATGTTGACATCTCATGGTCTCTTAGCCTCCTCTTCTAGCAGGGCCTTTCTCCTTAGCTACTCATGAGTATCCCTCAAAACTTTCCTGTCTTCATCCCAAACCCATCAGAGGCTAGAAACCTCTTCCTGAAGCTGGGTGCCCCTCTGCCTGGTTTGTTATACTAGGAGTTTTGGGGTTTTTTTCAAAGTTGATCCTGTGCGCTCGCTCATGCATGCTCTCTCTCTCTCTCTCTCTCTCTCTCTCTCTCTCTCTCTCTCTCCTCCTCTCCCCCCCTCTCTCTGTACATACACACACACTTGAAAAAAGGTCTAAGCCTCCTGAGTGCTGGACTTGCAGGCATGCCTCACCACACCAGACTTCAGTGCATTTATTCTGCAATAAATGGGGGTAAGGAAGAAGTTGAAGTAGGAGATTCAGGTTGAATCCTGGAAGGCAGGCCTCTTGGGGATGAAGGAGGGAGAGCCTGGGCAGAGTGCTCCCCCCACCCTCCAGCCTGTGCTGTCCTCTGGTGAGGGGCTTGCTGTGTTTTTAAAAAGGAAGAAGATTCCTTATCTGGTCCATCTGGTGTTTGCTGAGAGACAGTGCCTGGCCTTGCCAGGTATGCAGCACCTTGGGGCTAGACACGGTTTCCCTCTGGACAAGTTCTGCTGGCTCTTGATGGAGTGACTGGATATTTATGTTGTCAGCTTTCCAGTTGAAATGAGGAAGACTGCTCAAGTCTACAGCTGGATTCATATGGCCCTCTCTGGCACATTGATTTGGCAAGCCCACCTGGTATCTTACTGGACATTGTAGTTTCTCCTGGATGGCATAGCAGTCTCTTTTTATGCTGTTCCTGGGGCTTGAACTCATGGCCTAGGCATTGTCCCTGAGCTTCTTTTGCTCAAGACTAGCACCCTACCACTTGAGCCACAGCACCTCTTCCAACAGTCTCATTTGTCAGATGGCATTTCAGGACACAGCCTTCTGGTTCCCAGTCCCCAGCACATTACTTGGCACAGGACAGGCGCTACTGAATTCACTCATTCAGCAAATACTTGGGTGTCTAATTAGTGCCAGCTTCTGTTGTGGGTACCGGGGGTCTAGTTATGAATGAAGCACATTGGAATCTCTGCCTTCTTGGAGCTGCTTGGTGGTAGTGAGACAGGCCAACCAAAAGACAGGCAGCCTGTGAGGTGGGCAGGAGGTCAAGCTGGGGAGAGGGAACACTGGGCTTTAAACACAGTGGCCAGGGAAGTCTCACTGAGTGAGAGAACAAGCATCTGCAAAGGCCCTGAGGTAGACCTGTGTTTGGGATGTTGTAACCTTAGAACTGCAAGGGCAATCATGCCGCTTCTACAAGCTGGGCACAGGTTGCCAAGAGGTGACATGAAAGAGGAGGAAACGCAATGACCTCTACCTCTCCACATTCCTCCCAGCGGGGGGGGGGGGGACTTCGTGCTGCTGTGAAGCACACACGTGTGCGCGCGTGCACACGTCCAGGTGCTTGTAGGTGATGGGAACCGATCTCAAGGATAAACTGAAGCTGGATTCTTACGTTCTTAATATTCAGGGGTATCTGGGCATCATAGACCCTCGCCTCTGTAATCAAACCACTTTGGCATTTGTATGGTGTCCCCAGACAGCACAGCAATAAATGTGTGATTGTGTGGGAAAAAAAAAGAACTCCAAGGGCAAGATGGTGCTGGTAGTGGGCTGGGGAGAAGGGGGAGGGGGACCAAGTTCCAAGAGATAGAAAGGTGCCTTCTGTGTCAAACAGCCCCAGGGAGAGCAGGTCAAGAGCAGCAGCAGAAATTGAGACCAGAAAGCCTGGCATACCTGGCCTTTCATGGCTGTATTTGGGACCCTTGGCACTGAGGTGATTTGAGCAGTGTAGCATTTCTCAGGAACAAGGAGGTATCTGCGGGTGACACTGCTATGGACTTCCTGCCCTTGGGGTCAGAAGGTCATATAAGGCTGTGCACACAGGCGTGTGGGCAGATGCATGCCATATCATTTACACCACACAAATAACTAGCACCATTTCACTGGTAATATGGGCACAGCTGTGTCTCAGAGCCAACCAAGAGCAGTGTGAAGCCTTTTTATGGGGCTGAGCCCTTCCCAGGGAGTCTGTTGCCCTACACTTCCTCACTTTTCCAATGGCCTGAAAGGTAGCCCAGCCAGACAAATCCGTGAGACAGCAGACAGCCAGAAACGCGTGTTGACAGGAGGGTCCAAGGTGGCTACAATGTCTGGGGACATAGGGTATGGGTGACCTCCAGCCTCAGATCTGCCTGGCAGGTAGATAGTAGTAATACCAGCTTGTCTAAACTCTGTGCTTGACTTCCTTTAACAAACAGGAAGTTCTCCAACTATCTGTCCTATCTCTAGTTGAGTCAACCTGCTCCAGCTCCCCAGGCCACTGAATTCTCTCCTAACCACATAGACACCCTTCCTTCAAATGCAAACAGCATTCAGTCAGTTATTACGATCCGTGGCTCTGCTCAGGGGAGCATTTTTCTTTTAAAGTACCCAAAAGAGGAAGGTCCAAACAAAACCGGGATGTGGGCGAGGGGGTGGGCCCATTCTCCAGTCATCTTGAGTGGCCCATCCTCCTCGGTGCCCTATAGGCTTTAATGTAATGTACCGGAACTGAAGGGAATATGTGTGTGTGTGTATGCTTTGTACCAGATTTAAGTCTCCCTTTTGGGATGGGAAAGAGTGGGAGCAAATTTCTCCTTCCTGCTCACTGATTTTTTGAGAGAAACACCCACCTCAAACCCAGGCACCGCCCTCATCCCAGACTCTCAGGTAGAAATAAAAATGTCTGGGAGCCAGAATCCCTGTGGGTGTAGAGGTCGTGGCTCTGCTGCTTGCTAGCCATGGGACTTTGCACGAGCTACCTCACCCTTCTTCAGGTGAGAATGGTGAGAAGATAGTAAGCCGCTGTGGTGTAAAATGCCTTGGTTGGCCATAAACTCTTACCTGGCTGGCCTTCCATGGATGGCTGGAGGGAAAGGCAGGT